GAGAAATGATGTACAAATACGCTTTACACAATTGATGTGTGTATGGATTGGGATAACAGTTGTATGAGCCCCTAATAAAATGTTTAAAAAAAAAAAAAGAGAAACGTTAACCACACCAATCCAAAACGACACCGTTTGCCCCAAAACACAGCTCGGGAGGCACGAGGGAAAAAGACCAAATGGAGACGTGACCCCCATGAAGGACTCAGAAGAGTGCTGTACCATTGAAGGAATTACAATTAGTGTAACAAAATTAAATGTTCATGAATTGAAGATTGGAAAACCAATTTGCTCTGTAAACTTTCAAACTTCAACCAAACCACGATTTTTTTTTTAGGTTACTTCTGGAGTAGGATGCAGAGTGTTTATCACCTTTTATTTTTGTTCTTTTCAGTACTTGCTGTTGACATTAGTAAAAATAACTATATATCATTAGCAACTATTGCTTCAATATAAAAAATTACTCATTTTAAAGTTTGGATCCATTTTTCATAGTATCAGCAGTGTGTAAGTTACGTCACAACTCTGCCAATATTGATTATACATTTAAAAATGTGTATCAGCCTGGTGATATATATATGGAAAATACATAGAAATATGAGTATATATTTATATTTTATATTTCAAGTATAAAATAAAAAAATTCATGTGCTAATGATGTTTTGTTTCTCTGTGGTATAGGAAGCATCTATGACTTCTATTTTCTTAAGCAAGGTAGTGGACATTGGAACGCATGGACAGAGTATATCACCAAAGAAGAGGAAATGATCCCAGCTAATGCAAAGGTAAAAGAGAGACATTTACCAAGGGATTTTGGTTTCCAGAGTTGCTTTAATGTTCTCTAAGATGGAGGAATTAAAATCAGTTCTATCTTAGCATTCTGAGGAGCTTTATGTAGAAAGAAATTCAAAGGTGGACTAAACTGACCCTTCAAAGCATGGGCTTTGAATAAGAAAGACCCGGTTTCCCTATTCAAGCTCCATGGTTTCTGCCTCTGTTTACACAATTATATCAGAGACGAGAAATTACTTGCAGGATGGCTCCAAGAATTGACGGTGATATACATAAATGCAGGGCACAAACTAGGTATTAGATAGGTGTTGCTTGCTAGTCTTAGTCCTGAGTTCACCTCTCAGTCATCTCAGCCCAAAGGATCTTTGCCTCTGAAAGATTTCCTTGGTCAGAACACTCAGAAAAGGGGCTTCTGATTTTAAAGTTTTCTGGTTAGTAGATGGTTCACTTAAAACTCCTGCTCAATTTCAATCCGTGTGGAAAAAATCTTTTTGATGTACTCTTACATGTGCTCTAAGTATTTGCCATGCAGTGTCACCATCCTGCTACGGAGCATTCTGGCTGTACTTCTTCCAAAACAGATTTGTGTGTCTTTTAGTGGTCCATGTTACTTTCACCAGCACTATAATTCAAATGCATTGATTCTTCTTTGGTCTTCCTTGTTTGAATGTTCAACTTTCCCATGCATAAGACGTTATTAGAAATACCATGGCTTGGATCAGGAGCACCTTAGTCCTCAAAGTATCATCCTTGTTTTCCAATATTTTAAAGTGGTCTTGTGCAGCAGATTTACCCAATCCAGTGTGTTATTTGATCTCTTGGCTGCTGCTTCCATGAGCATTGATGACGGATTCAAGGAAGATGAGATACCTGATAACTTCAGTTTTTCTCCATCTATCATGAAGTCTAGTTGGGAGGATTTGGGTCTTCTTTACATTGAGTCATAATCCATACTGAAGGCTGTAAATTCATGATCTTTATCTGCAAGTGCCTCAAGCTACCGCCCTTTCAGCAACCCAGGTTATGCCAGCTGCACGTCACAGATTGATAATAAGCTTTCTTCTGATCCTGATGCTGAGTTCTTCTTCAGACAGCCCAGCTTCTCAGACTATTTGCTGGGCATATTGATTGATGAGTATGATGAAAGAATGCAAGCTGAATTTAAACTAGGAGATATTCCCTTGTTCTGTGTGAACTACTGCATCCTGGTTCAGGTACAGTTTCTGTGTGAGCACAATGACCTATTCTGGAGTGTTCGTTCTTCTCAATGCTATCCATAGTTTGTTATGATCCACACAGTCACATACCTTTGTATAGTCAATAGAACACAAGTGAACGTATTTCCCGTATCTTCTGATTTCAGCGAAGATCTATCTGACATCCACAATAATATCCCCTGTTCCACAACCTCTTCCGAGCCTGGCTTGAATTTCTAGCAGCTCCTTGGCAATATACTATTGCAACTGTTGTTTAATGATCTTCAGCAAAATTATACTTGCACATGATATTGATGATATTATTCTATGATTTCTACATTCTGTTGGGTCATTTTCCTTTAAAATGGGTACAACTATGGATCTCTTACATTAGATTGTCTGGATAGACATATTCCAAATTCCTTGCCATAGGTGAATCAGTGCTCCCAGTGCTTCATCAGCTTGCTGAAACATTTCAATTGATAGTCCATCAATTCAGGGAGCTTTGGTTTGAGCAAAGGCTTTCAGTGCAGCTTGAACTTCTTCCTTCACGTGCCATCTCCTGAAAGGACTGTAGGTTGTCAATTATCTCATCTTGGTACTGTGACTGTATTCCTTCCATTTTATTTTGATGCTTGCTACATCCTTCAATATTTTGCCCATAGAAACCTTCAGTATAGCAACTAGTCCAATGAACTAATGTATCACTTGAACCTCAGACTCCACAACCCTGAGACCAGAAGAACTAGATAGTACCCAGCTACTACTACTGACCACTCTGAAATAATCATCTTAGTACTTGGTCCTCATGAAGAGATCACTGAAGATACAGGTGTGATGAAATCAGATAGTGCATGGCTATCAGAAAGAATAGTGCCTAGAGTTTTAAAGGCTTGTCTTAAAACAAGCAGCCATCTCAGTGAGGTGTCATCTAAGTCTGCACAAAAGCAGCACCTCCATCAGCATCACTAAAGATTATTAACAATAAAATCCAAGATCAGAGGGGGAGACTGTATTAGAGCTTAAATTCTGAGCCCCCAGTTTACAGAAAGCTATGCGATGACCTGGGAAGCCCAAAATCTTTTTACAGAGTCCCCACATGGACTAAGCCTTCATTGGATTCCCTAGGTCCATTGACCAAAGACATGAAGAGTCTTGTCCCCCAGACAACACATTAGAATGTGGATTGCTGCAGGTACGGTAGGGTAGTATTTTAACATTTTACTATTTGTTTTTCCTTTTAACCCAATTTCAACTTGTTCTCGTTTTTAGTACATTTGTCTGTCCTTTGGATTGAGGTTTGTCTGTGTTTTATTCTGTTGTAGTTTCTGGGTCTTTTATTACTGTTGCTGTTTCCTTTTTTTTACTTACAAGATTTTCTTTCCACGAAACTTGGAATAGGTAAACCCATAGAGGCAACAACTAGATTAATAGTTTGTTAGAGTTATGATAGGGAAGGTTGGATGGAAACAGGGAGCTAATAATAATAGATAGATGGATGAACAACATTTTCTAAACTTGATTGGAGTGATAAATGTACAACTCTATTTAATGCACTGAAACATTGAATTATATGTGATTTATGTATCAATAAAACTGCTAAAATTAATTAATTACTTTTAAAATATCATCTTAGAAGATCCAGAATAAAGTGATAGAAAATTGTGAAGCAAATGCAAAATTATAAAATGACCAGGCTCACTACATGGAGAGACACTGGTGGGACTTTTGAGACATGGCCTGTAGTTACTCCTCGGGCCTGGAAGTGTGCTTGCCTACATGGTTCAGTGTTCAGCAAAAGGATCGGCAGGTCTATGAGGCAAACAGCAGCACTAGCACAGTTTGCACTCCTTGGAATAACCAACCACATGAACTGTTTAAAAGGGCAGAATTTGCCTCAGGACAGAGTTCAGAAGGCAGGGAGCATTGGTAAAGCAGGAGGAATGCAAATTTGAAAAACAGGAAAGAAGTGGGATCATTGATGTCACACGGTGGGAATTGCAATTTGACACGAAACAAAATGTGTATGAATTGTTGAGTGGAAGATTGATTTTTATTTGTCAACCATTACTCAATTGGGTGACGTCTAGGAAGTGTACAATGCCCATGCAGGAAGAAGCCTGGGATGAAATGGAGATGAATATTAGAACCAAGTCTACAAAATAATTGGGAAAACTAGATCAAGAACAAGCTCAGCCTATGGGGGCTCTTAAGTCACGTGAATGCTAATAAGTGAGGCAGTGAATATGGTGTCTGGAAGGCGGACCTTGCTGGTGTTCAGCAAGCAGTTTGGTTCAGAGAAAGTCTCCAAGGGCAGCAACCGTGGGCCGATCTGTACTGTAACTTCTGTTTATAATATGACAGCTTGTATCAGCTAAGAATGTACGCTTTTTATTCAGATACATCTGATTTCAGTTTCCTGGACTTTTATTTACATGCTGTGTTACCTAGGAATGATGCCCATCTCGGGATCTTGGCTTCCTCTATAAAACAGGGATAAGCATGCCCACTTTATATGTCTGATTTCTTTTAATCCTCAAAGTAGCTCATTGAATGAGATGCCATATTTAGCGCTCATTTCATCAGTTGATAGATAAAGAAACTGAGACCCCTGGACATATTAATTAGTCACAATGATGGGATGGAGCTGGGATTCAGCAGTTGAATGTCATGACCCAGACAAAACTCTCCCATTTTTGTGGTACAGGTCTCAGAACTCATCATCCCCACAATGGAGACAGCCCGGCAGACCTTCTTCTTGAAAACCTACTTGGACCATGAGATCCCCATGTTGTTTGTGGGTCCCACAGGCACTGGCAAATCAGCAATCACCAACAATTTCCTTCTCCATCTTCCCAAAAATATCTACCTTCCCAACTGCATCAATTTCTCTGCCAGAACCTCAGCCAATCAGACGCAGGATATCATCATGTCCAAGCTGGATCGGCGGAGGAAAGGCCTCTTTGGGCCTCCCATCGGGAGGAAAGCAATAGTGTTTGTGGGTAAGGCATCTACTTGGATACAATCAGGTTATATACACAATTTGAAGCAAGTCAAGACCTTTTATGGTAGAGAAAGTCATTGGGAATCTTCTTACTCTTTCTCAGAAAGAGAAAATAACTCTCTTTAATATAGCTTAGTCTTTCCCAAAAATATTGAAAAAGGTTTCAGCCCTTGTTACCTCTTCCAAGCCGTCTCAGGCTGTGCTCACCTTCATTTAAGGAACCCAAGTTATGAGGCCTCCTTGCTGCCTCGCACACCTACCTGAAGGCCTTTGCTGTGCTTCTGCCTTGAACCCTTTTCCTGTAGAAAGTCTCATGTTTGTTCCCTCAGTTGACATTCCTCCATCCTTCTCTCCCTTCTTTTATTTATCATTTATCAAATAACCATTTAAGCTATATAGCCAAACAAATCTGTTTCCAGAATCTCATTTTTCAACCTGAGGGATATTATGACTTAACTTTTTTTCACATCTAGCAAATGTGTAGGTAAGACTTCCTTTGTTCAGAGTGGACGAAACAATGTGTGTATAGCTCCCAAAATTTGCCTGACCCAAGCTGGGCATTCAGTCAAGATTGAAGAGGGAAGGAAAAGAGCCTCCAGTTTCTTGATTGCCTCCCATGTGCCAGGACTGAGAAGTACTATTAGTAAACACGTAACCCCTGCCACGGAGGAAGATTCCATCGAGACTTGCTATTTGGTGGTTGCTGTTAAAAACCCTACTTCAAAATTCTTGCCCCCAATAGAGCTCAACTTAAAAACTCTGTCGACTGGGATCATGGCTGATTGCCTAACCCTAGCAATGAACAAACTCAATAGGTAGTCAATATGTTGTAGTTGAGGGTATGGGGAAAATTAATTCCTATGTGTGCTATGCAAGGATGCTATCCAGCACCCTTAAAGCTTCAAAAGGCAGAAATCTCAGTGAGGGAGTCCAGAACCCAAGAAAACCCCGTTCTCCTCCAGTCAGAATGTCCACTTGCTGAGAACCTATGCAGAGTGGAGATGGAACAGCTGGGCCCAGACTCCTCTCTGGGAGAGAATGGTCATCTGTTGCGTCGTGTTTGAGCAGGTTTGACCAGGGGATCATGAACTTATAATGTGTGGATTTGACTCCTTTCCACAGATGACCTCAACATGCCAGCCAAAGAGGTGTATGGGGCCCAGCCCCCCATTGAGCTCTTGAGACAATGGATTGACCATGGTTATTGGTTTGATAAAAAGGACACAAATAGACTGGACATTGCAGATGTACTGCTTGTGACAGCGATGGGGCCTCCTGGCGGCGGAAGGAATGACATTACCGGTATGTGAACCAGAGAGTTTATTCCTCTTCACCCACTAGGGGGCCTGACCACCTTCATGAGTGGGGGAGTGACGCTGTTCTGACCGAGGGTTGAGTACAGTGTGCCTAAGCTGCAGATGAAGGGGCTTGAGTTAGCTCCAGGGAGTGACAGTGAAGGACTTCATGTTGGAACTTGTGTGGAATAGGAAGGGAAGACAAAAAAGAAAGAAAAGAAAGAGAATATTATTTTGGCCCTGATACCTAACAGTTTGGAATAAGTACAACTCAATCCAGGTCTACAAGTATTTTTAATTTTTATTCTGATATATATATAGTTAGAATCTTAAAATCATCTGAATATTTGATTCTGTAAAATATTAAGTTGCTATCTGATCTTGTGCAAGTTTCTTTTCCTCCAGTGGTCAACTTTCTCATCTGTAAAATATGGAACATGGCATGAATGGTCTCCCTTGGGTCCCCACGCTATCACTTCCACGTCAAGGATAGACTCTCGGAGTGACTTTAGCTGGGGTTTGAATACAACATGATCTTAGATAGCTATCTTTTATAAATTCGATATTTTTCTCACCAGTAAGAAGGAGAGAAGCTTGGTACATGGTTTCTTTCTATGTAAAACCTCACTTATCAAATGAGCTCTGTTTCTAGCATACATCACAGCATGTTAGAATAACTAACATTTGCAGAGAAACTAATAGTTTCTGGACTGTATTACAAACATGCAAAGACCCCATAACAAACCTAATGCCCAAAGACCACCAGGAATACACTGTATTGCTCCCTCGTGGTCATGGAGTGAGCTCTGGTGTTGATATTTCATGAATTCGTTTCAGCAGGGAACCCATACCTTTGCTAATCAATTCCAGGCCAGCTACCAGCTATCAAGCATGGCAAGGTGGGGGTGGGGATTTACTATAAGAATGAAGAGAATAAAGAACAGAGTGATATTGTCACCTCAAAAGCACAATTGAAAGATACGTTAAATACATAAATGAAAACAGATACAATTGACATTTACAATTTTAAAATAATCTAAAATAAATTGACAAAATGATATAAAGCATGAAAGAACAACATAAGTAGTTGTTAGGAAAACTCAGAAATTGGATTGTGACACTTAAAAAATTGAAAAAGAAACATTGTTTTAGAAAGGAAGCCTATACTAGAAGGAACACAAAGTAAAATAAAAAATAGTGCCATAACACGAGGTGTCAAAGGGACCAGGGATCAGGCATCAAAAACAAAAAATCATATCATTGTAAATGAGGGGGAGTGCAGAGTGGGGACCCAAAGTCCATCTGTAGGTCACTGGACATCCCCTTACGAAAGGGTTGCGGGGAGGAAACGAGCCAGTCAGGGCACAGTGTAGCAATGATGAAACATAAAACTTTCCTCAACTTCTTTAATGCTTCTCCCCCCGCACTATCATGATCTCATTTCTACCTTACAAATCTGGCTAGACCAGAGGCTGCGCACTGGTACAGATAGGAACTGGAAACAGGGAATCCAGGACAGATGATCCCTTCAGGACCAGTGGTGAGAGTGGCAATACCAGGAGGGTGGAGGGAAGGTGAGGTGGAAAGGGGGAACTGATCACAAAGATGTACATATAACCCCCTCCCTGGGGGACAGACAACAGAAAAATGGGTGAAGGGAGACGTCGGACAGTGTAAGACATGACAAAATAATAATAATTTATAAATTATCAAGGGTTAATGAGGGAGGGGGAGGGGGGAAGGAGGGGGAAAAATGAAGAACTGATACCAAGGGCTCAAGTCGAAAGCAAATGTTTTAAGAATGATGAGGGCAACAAATGTACAAATGTGCTTGACACAATGGATGGATTATGGTAAGAGTTGTACAGGCCCCCAATAAAACGATTTAAAAAAATAATGCCATAAGCAATACAAAATTTTAAGGAAATTTTTTAATCAAAAAGATATGAGGATATGTTTTAAAAGATTTTGATAGAGAGTGACAATATTGGCATTTTAGAAGCACACTGTCATTCAGTCTATTCCAATTCAAAACAACCCTTTTTAGGGTCTCTGAGACTGTAAATATTTATGGGAGCAAATACCTTCACTTCTCTTACAGAGCAACTAGTGGGTTTGAACTGCCCACCTATGGTTCGCAGTCCAATGCATACCCAGAGAGCACTACCAGGACTCCCATTCAAGTTAGGCCAAGAAAATTCAGCATATAACAAATATAAGTATCTGAAGAAAAAATTCAAAGTACAGAAATAGAACCAAAATTATAATCTAATAAAATGTTCCTAAAATAAAATAATTTCTATTTGAAAATTATGTATTGAAAGACCCGATTTATTGTGTACCTCCACCACTTGCCACCGTTTGTTATACTGTGGTGGCTTCTGTGTTGTTGTGATGCTGGGAACTATGTTATTGGTATTTCAAATACCATCAGGGTCACCCAAAGTGAACAGGCTTCACCAGACCTTCCAGACTAAGACCATACTACCAAGAAGAAATAGGCTGTCCACTTCTGAGGAATTTGCCACAGAAAATGTTCATTATGGATTCTCAGATACTGAAAACCTCATGACGAGTAGCAGAACATTGTCATAGATAGTGCCAGAAGATGAGCCCCTCAGGTCAGACGCCACTCAAAATATGACTGAGGAAAATAGAGTCAATCATAATGACATGGATGGAGAAGAGCTTGGAGAGTAGAGCATTTGGAACCTGCATTGCTGATGGGCATGACTCAAAAAGAGAAGAAATAACTGTAAACATCTATTAGTAATTGGAACTTGGAATGTACAATGTATGAATCTAAGAAAATTAGAAATAAAAAATGAAATGAAATGCATAAAGATTGATAATCTAGGCATTAGTGAGCTTAAATTGACTGGTATTGGCCATTTTGGGTCAGAAAACCATATGGTTTAATGCTGGGAATGACAGTCAAGAGGAATAGTATTGTACTCATGATCAAAAAGGATATTTCAAGATATATCTTGAAGTACAATGCTGTCTGTGACAGGATATCCAGTCAATACAACTATTATTTAGATTTATTTACCAACCACTATAAAGGTATACATGTAGAAATTGAAGAATTTTACCAACATCCTCGGTCTGAAATTGACCAAACATGCATTGAAGATGCGTTGATAATTATTGGTGAGTAGAATGCAAAAGCTGGAAACAGAGTAAAGAACAGTAGTTGGAGAATAAGGCCACATGAGAGAATTTTATTAGATTGTTTTCATCACAAATACCTTCTTTCAATAACACAAGATGATCTCTCCAGGTGGAATACACAGAAATCAAATTGACTACATCTGTCGGAAGAAACCATGGAGAAACTCAGTATCAGCAGCTAAAAGGAGGCCAGGAGCCAACTGTGGAACAGATCATCAATTGCCTCTATGGAAGTTCAGGTTGAAGCTGAAGAAAATTAAGACAAGTCCACACGAGCCAAACCTACAATGCTGTGGGCAAAATACTGAGTGTATCCCAACTGAATTTCAAGCACATCTCAAGAACACTAATGACATAGCTCTTGAGGAGCTGTAGGATGACATCAAGAACATCATACATAAAAAGAGTCAAAGATCATTTAAAAGACTGGAAAGAAAGAAAAGATCAAAGCAAATGTCAGAAGAGACTCTGAAACTTGCTCTTAATTACAGAGCAGCTAAGGCAAATGGAAGAAATGATGAAGTCAAAGAGCTGAAGATAAAGTTTCAAAGGGAATTTCAAACAGACAAAGTAAAGTATTATAAGAAAATGTACAAAGACCTAAAGTTAGAAAACTAAAAAGAACATGCTCAGCATATCTGAAGTTGAAAGAACTGAAGAAAAAATTCAATCCTTGTGTTACAATGTTGAAAGATTCTTTGTGCAAAAATATTGAATGATAGATACAAGAAGCATCCCAAAAATGGAAAGAATACACAGTTACTATACCACAAAGAACTAGTCGACATGTAACCATTTCGAGATAGGATGTGATCAAGAACCAATGGTACTGACGGAAGAAGTCCGGGGTGCATTGAAAGCATTAGCTAAAAAGACTTTATGATTTGACTGAATAACAATTGAAATGTTTCAATATGCTGATGAAGCACTGGAAGTAATCATTCATCTAGGCCAAGAAATGGGAAAGACAGCTACTTGGCCAACTAACTGAAAGAGATTCATATTTGTACCCATTCCAAAGAAAAGAGACCCAGCAGAATGTGTAAATTGCAGAACAGTCTCACTAATATCACATGCAGGTAAAAGTGTGCTAAACATCATTCCAGAAGGGTTGCAGCAGTACATTGGTGGGGAGCTGCCAGAAATTCAGGCTGGATTCAGAAGAGGATGTGAAACAACAGGCACTGTTGCCAAATGCAGAGAATACCAGAAAGAGGTTACATTGACTAGGCAAAGGTATTTGACTATGTGGAACATTACACATTGTAGATAGTCTTGAAAACAACAGGCATTCCAGAAAAATTGTGTTCATATGGAATCTGTCCATGGATCAAGAGGCAGTTGTAGAAAAAGAGCAAGGGGATACTATATGGTTTAAAACCAGGAAAGGTGTTGTATCCTCTTGCCATACTTAACCAATATGTGTCCTGAGCAAGTAAGCAGAGAAGTAAGATGATATGAAGAAGAATGTTGCATCAGGATTGTAGGAAGGTTTATTAACAACCTGTAATATATAGATGACATGACCTTTAAGCAGGACTTAAAGCACTTGCTGATAAAGAATAGGGATTCAGCCTTCAGTATGGACTGCGACAATGTAAAGAAGACCAAAATCCTCACAACTGGACCAATAAGTGAACATTATGATAAACTGGGAAAGGGTTGAAGTTATCAAAGATTTTGTCTTCCTTAGAGCCATACTCGATGCTTGTAGAAGCAGCAGTCAAGAGATCAAATGTGTTACATTGGGTAAATTTGCTGTACAAGACCTTTGTAGGGTACTGAAAAGCAAGAATGTTACTTTTAGGACGTAGGTATGCTTGACCCACACCA